CTTGGGTTCCCAGCCAAGTATGTCAGTTTTACGTTTCACATGGATTGTTGGGTGTCGAAACTCATAGCTAACGTTCAGCGGCGGCGTGAGTGTGAGGGGCAATTCCAACATCCAAACTCTCATCTCCTCCGTCAGAAGTTATTTGCCATCCACACCGTCCAGTCACATTTGAAGCCACCGATCTCGAACTTGTGGACTGGACTCCGTCCACGATCACCCATGCTACACCAAGTAAACCCGACGGCCGGAACTGACGTCTTACCAGGTCGGCCCGTCAGTGGCACATCATGCGAGTCATTGAAGATTGGTGGCATGGCCCAATACGGAAGTCTTTTGTCCTTACATCCTCCTCTCACCTTCCTCATATGGTAATTGCCGACACTTCTATGCTTAACCCTTAACCCTGCGTCCTGCGCCATTCCGCTTGAATATTTTGTGTCCTTGCGAGTATGAAATGGAACATTATTCGCCATGGCTTTGCGAAAATGAGGAAACCTCGCTTGGGCTTCAATAAGTGGCTAGACTTTGCTTTGTCCACGCTTTGGCGACGGGTCCAAGCATGACCCGGATTTAGTCGTGGTGGGTCAAAGTGAAACATAGGTCTCAAAGCGATTGTCCGAGTCATGTATATAATAGACGACTTATTGGAGGGACCTACCACTTGGATTGTCGTCTCTCTCCCACCATTCAACAAAGTTTCCCTACTCACCACAACTCGATCGTCTACCTCTCCACTTCCGCGTCTGACTACTCGATCCATCACCACACTTACCATGCAGCCTAATTGTTTGAAGAACGACGATCGTCTCTCGATAGTGGTAGGGCGATATAGTGCACAGCAGCGGGAGGAGGGTGGGACCCCAAACGCGAGTCTGAGAGGAAGACCAATGGCTGTGGACAAGTTGCACAGAGCGTTCGAGCTTTCAAGACGCCGAGATGTCCACCCAGGCATGTGCATGGTCGTGAGACAAAAGCCTTCTGACGAAACAGAAGCGCTGCATTAGACTGAAGAAGAGACGGATGGTGAGCATGAATTCTCACCTTGAATCTCTTACTGGACCTGACCACTTTCGAAGTCAAACTCGATAGCGTTGACTCATCGTTGTCAACCTTATAGGACCTCCTTCCTACTGAGAGTCGGCTACAAGGACAGGGTAGAGGAAAAGATTGCCACAATGGAGCCTGAACACGTTGAGCGTCGTGGAGAAGCTTGTCGGGGTAATTTTTAGAGCTCGCACCTTCGCCTTCAGTTTCATGTAGGCCAACAATATCCCATGCAGTCACCCAAAGATTACTTGCCACGACCCTGTCCGATCCCCTGGAACTTTAAGTTGGAGACGGAAGGACCACCAATGAGGCCCTGATCAGTTAGATTAGAACTTAGCCATTTGCGCAGTCTCCAGATTGGCTTCAGATAGGCTCGTCACCACTGATCCCACCGAGTCCGATGTGAGCTGTTATTGGCATATTTCCCAATGTCTCTGCGATGGGTTTGGAGGGAATGATGAGGAGATTTGGGCGGCACAACTATGGACGACCCAACCAGAGCTGTTTTAACTCATAAGGTGGTCGAAGTAGGAAATGTACTCAGGAGCCATAACTTAGTAGGTATCAACACCTGGGCCTACCGGGTGTAAAATAGCGCCTATAAGGCTATACATGGATGAGATAGGTGGATTTTGTCCTCCCGAGCCATGCCCGAGTCTTGCAACATTGTTGATGCATAATCTGATGAACTCGCCACCGAAGGCTGTTGCCAAGTCCGGTTTATACTTTGGTTACCGGGGTCGGTTAGCCGGCGACCAGCGAAGTTGCCCCCCGAGGGTCATACAGTCCTCGCAGTTAGAGTTCGACCGGACTCAAGAAAACTCCAACGTTCTGAGACCTTGCCCTCACCAACCCATCTTGCCGCCTCTGTCAGCACTGCCCATCTCGCTCCCAGCTCTCTTCCGCCAACGCAGTAACACGGCCAGGGGATACTTAGTTTCCAAACGTGACTACGCTGTCCCTGCGTATCCACAGCCAAAGTTCATTCGCTTAGTGCAAAGACACTCATCACTGCGAGATATTCTGCGATTTTGGTTTCGCTTAGTTCTTCGGTCATGGTGTTTCAGACCGTCTCACTCGCCGAGCTGACGGAGATACTCTCTGAACACAATGTGCTCGGCTCCGTCGAGTTGTAGCATCTCTTGTTTGCAATCTTTTCGTACCGATGTTATGCGCTGCGGAGAAGGCTCAGCTTGGAGAGGTTTATTGAGTATAAGAGCTCTGGAAGTTGAGGTTGGGGAGGCCAGCAGAACAATTAGAATTCGCCTTGGACCCCACAGAACTCTTAGATTTTCCTCCGGTATACCCGCTATTCTATGTCTCATTCAGATCAATCTTCATCCAATACTCCCCTCAGGAGAGGACAGGCTTGCCTCGACTGCAGGTACGTAACTTCCACTGGAATTTCGACTGGTCCTCACGAATAACTTCCCGTTAGAAAACGCAAAATGGTGCAAACACTTTTCTTATACCCCTTAACCACTACATGGATGCTAATGAACAGGCCTAATTTATAGAAATGTGATGGTGCACGACCGTATTGTGGTCCTTGTGTCCGTGGTAATAGACAAGAGGATTGTGAATACGCAGACGGACCGGGACGTACACGCACCGAGTTGCTGGAAGACAGTGTTGCGCTTCTCCAAGCTCGAATCCAGGAGCTTGAGCGCCCCGCTGAAACAACTCCGTCTATGACGCTACATGACCCTCATGCTTCATATCGTAACAGGCAACCCAATGCAGGTGGTTCTACCGGGATGAATCTTGGGACCACGTCAAGGTTGCCTTCAAGCAGTCCTCAGATACACCGTGATTTCCCTCCTCAGTTTCGAGGTGGTCCATCTCCCGCGCCGGGGATATCTTCTGGCCCGTTTTTTGGAGGTTAGTGGATGGTTTTGCCCTTCCAGAGAAGCTGTGGCATAGTTATGCTAACCACATTTCGTCCCGTCCAGCTCCCACTTTCTCCTCCCAGGGAAATACACCTCGCTTGACGCCGTATCAAGGCCGAGGTGCGAGTGCCCCTTTACCCAGACCGGCTCCATCGTGGTGGGAAGCAGAAGAGCCTCCTGCCGACATAATCCAACTATTGTAAATCGAGTTTTTTTTTCGGAGAACCTCGCGCCACGACTAATTGATCTCTCTTAGGTTCAACATATTTCTTCCCCGAGGCTCTCAATTCGGCTGGTTCCTTTCCACTCGTCGTTTCCTCGACTCGGCTCTTCAACCTCTCCCTCTCTGGCACCCTTCCCGTCCGCTTCCCGTCCTCCTCAGCGTAATATATTTAATGGGCATCCATTTCTCCGGCTCTCCAGAGTTGGCAGCTCGGGAACCTCTCTTACTCGCCCGAGTGCAGAGTCAGCTTAATTCTGCTTCAGTATCTGGTGGGGGTAATGGTGGGGTTCGCCACCACCCGAAAAGAGATATGCATATGTTGCAAGCTGAGCTCATACTCGCATATTATTTCTTTAGGAACGGGAGGGTTGTAGAAGGGAGGTATCACGTAAACGCAGCCGTCTCGTTGGCGTTTGCTTGTAAGTTGAATAAAGTCCGAAGTGAAGCTGACGTGCAGGTGGCATTTGGGATTGGCGGTCTTGGGACTGGATTACCTCCGCCTGTGGATGAAGTCGAAGAAGGGGAGAGGATTAATGCGTTTTGGCAGGTTTTTGTGTTGGATAGGGTTTGGAGCGCTGTGATGGGGTCGTCGGCGTTTATTAGTGATGAGGAGATGTTGTTGACTGATGTTGATACGCCTTGGCCTTTAGAACGGGATGTTTATCAACCGGTATGATTCGTATTGCTAACTACTCCTGGGGTTTCGCTAATGTTGGATCTGGTTGGGTAGGGAGTTTTATCGCCTGATAGGCCGAAGAGTTCCAGGACGTTGGCCAAATTTTTGAACGATCCGGCTTCTGAAGATACCGTCGAGGGCTTCTCGATCACGGCTATGGTTATCAAATCTGCCATTCTATACGAACAAGCGACACAAGTTGCGAATCGGTACAAAGCCTGTATGCTTACCTTTACCTGCTCCCATTGTTTGAACCCTTTGCTCACCAGCCGCCCCCTTTTATTCAACGCTCTAGCAAATTCACAATCAGATATCCAAAGCCTGCGGGGACGTTCCCGCGTTCTTATCACGCAAATAGAACAGTTCATCCCGACCCTCTTCCCGCTGAGCGATGATGCTATCGCGCCGGAGGTTGTGAGGTGTATTATTCTCAGTCAGATATTGGCACGAGTTGCTTTGATTCAAGTTTATAAGGCGTTTGGGGGGAGGGATGGGGAGGATGGGAGGAGGGAGGCGCTGAGAGTCGCTGAAGGGATTGCTGAAGTTTTGGGTAGAGTGGATGGGACGGCGTTGGTGTTTACGAACCCGATTATTGGTGTATGTTCTTTTCTTTTTGTGTTGTGTGGACGGTTCAGTTGATTTTATTGGTGGGTAGACTTTGTTGATGACGGTTTGTGAGGTGCTGGTTGTTCATGTTAAGCATGAACGGGCTCGGAGGCACTCGGCCGTTGCACCAACTGCGCGAGAGACTGGGTTGGTTGGGTCGTTGGAGGGGGTTGTGGGTGTGATGTCGGCGCTTGGGACCAAGTGCCCGTTTACTCGTATGTTGTTCCTTTGGTTTTGGTTTGGTTTCTGGTTGTGCTCATGGTTGGATAGGTTATCAACTTGGAAGAGTGCAAGAGATGAGGGGTGGGATGTAGGATTGGAGGGTGATGCGCTGTTTTGATAGTTTAGATGTGAGAATGGTGTTCAAGTTGTCGTCTGTTACGGATATCGGCTCAATGTAGAGGGGTTGTCGAATTGCAATTCAGTTAAAGAGGATTGGATTGTACTTTGCCTACAGTAAGAATACAGTATGGATTGATGCGACTGGGAACTTCATGTGCGTGCGATGGGAGATCGGAAGAAAAACACATATCAATCGAAATTTGCGCCACTGGCGCAAGGCATTGTAGTGTAGTGGTCTTATCACTTCGGATTTTGACCCAGCGCAACTTCCGACGACCCAGGTTCGAGTCCTGGCAACGCCTTTCCTGTGAATTTTCGTCCCCTTTTTCCAAGGAGAGTGAGCGATGAGATTTTACTTGTTTTGTGCAAGCTAGTGGTCCAGTGGGTCCAGGCGAGACCAATGTGACCAACGCGTCCTGTCATGTCACGAGTCGCCCTAACCCTATCTCAAGCCACAACCTGCAGCGGTCCGTTGCTTGAAGGACGTCGACGTCGAGGATGTACATCAAAACACTGACGATCCAGGGCTTCAAATCATGTGCGTTTACCAACCTTTGTACTTTATCTTCGCTTTGAATTGCGTGTAGACAGAGACCAAACGCAAATAGAACCTTTCTCGCCGAAACACAATGTCGTCGTCGGCAGAAATGGCTCGGGGAAGAGCAATTTCTTTGCTGGTCGGTCTTGTTTTTTTCTGCAGGTTGGAGTGTGGTGCTCATTTTCTGGTTTTGCTTTGGTAGCGATTCGATTCGTGCTGTCGGACGCGTATACTTCAATGTCGAGAGAGGAACGACAGGCGTTACTGCACGAAGGCGTATCTACAACAACCACCCTATCTGCTTTTGGTGGGCACCTTCCCCCCTCCCGTGCTATCACCTTCCTAACTATACTATCACCTCCCACGAACCATCCACCAACTCCCAGTCGAGATAATCTTCGACAACACCTCAAACCGTTTTCCAACAGGTCGGGACACTGTAACTATCCGTCGCACAATCGGTCTCAAAAAAGATGAATACTCGTTGGATAAGAAGAGCGTTAGTAAAGCTGATGTTATGAATTTGTTGGAGAGTGCGGGGTTTAGTAGGGCCAATCCTTATTATATCGTGCCTCAGGGTAGGGTGAGTCTTCAGTTCATGGGTTCTGGGTTCCCTTCTCCATCTGGCTCTTTATTTTTTGCTTTTATCACCATGAATCATCGCCCTCTTCTTTTCACCGCCTAACCTCCCCACCTCCCAGATAACATCCCTAACAAACGCAAAAGACCACGAACGTCTCGCCCTCCTGAAAGAAGTAGCAGGAACACACGTATACGAAACTCGCAGAGCTGAATCGTTGGGTATCATGGCGGCTACTAGTGCCAAGAGAGCGAAAGTGGGGGAGTTGTTGGAGTATATCAAGGGGAGGTTGGAGGAGTTGGAAGAGGAGAAGGAGGAACTTGGGGAGTGGATGGAGGGTGATAAGGAGAGGAGGTATGTTGTCTGTCTAACCTCTTATTCCCTTCGTTCCTTCGATTTCTTCGATTTATCCTCCTTCGTCCCGTAATTCATCACACTCTATTCCTTACCAATTCTAACTGCTACAACGCATCCCTGTTTCCCCCTTCGTAATAGGTGTCTGGAATACGCGTTATACGTACGCGAACTGGAAGACGTAGGAGCGGCGCTGGAGGAAGTCGAAGAAGAGAGGAGGGGGGAGGTACATGCTGGGAATCTGAGGAGGGAGGGATGGGAGAGGAGGGAGATGGATATGAAGGTTAGTCAACTTTCTGTTTCTTCTTCATTTGTGTTGTATGTGTTGTCTGTGTGGGTTGTTGTGCCTATATGCGCTGCGTTTGATACATTCAGGCGTGGGTGTATCGTGGAGTGCATATATGCGTTGGCTAGCGGGATATATGCGTCAGCGCCAAAGGTTGCATGGGCTATATGCACTGGCGTCACGCCTTTCACGTCTTCTCCCTGTCCCACATCCCCCCTATTCATTGACCCATTGCATAACTAACCCCTCCTCAGAACCTCGAAAAAGAAATCTCCGAAACCAAATCAACTCTAACAACCCTCACACTAACCCGACAAGGCCACACCTCCGAACTATCCGACCTCCACCGAACGCGTACCCAACTAACCTGCATAATCACCGATCTACAAGCCTCACCTTCCAATAACCCTTCTCTCCTAGCCGACTTGGAATCTGATTTGGCTGCTATCGACGAAGCGATCGAGGACAAGGAAGGGGAACTTGGGGAGGTGAAGCCTTTATGGGAGGATGTTAGGAGGAGGGAGGTTGAAGAGAGGAGGGAGTTGGTTGGTGTTGAGGGTAGACTTGGGGAGTTGTTTGATAAACAGGGACGGGTGGCTCAGTTTAGGACGAAAGCTGAAAGGGATGCTTTTTTGACTTCTACTATATCTTCTCTGACTTCTTTCCAAAATACGACAAAGAGTTCGTTGACGGCTCTACAGTCGACGCTTGCGAATACGAGGCAGGCGTTGGTTGATGTTGAGGAGAGGATTAAGGGGAAGGAGGATGAGGGTGGTGATGCGAGGGTTAGGGGGAGGGAGGTTGGGGAGGGGATTAAGGCGATGAGGGAGAGACTTGGGGAGGTGGAGGAGAGGAGGAGGGAGGGGTGGAGGGAGGATACTAGATTGGAGAGTTTGGTTGGGAGGGAGAAGGAGGAGCTGAGGGGTGTTGAGAGGGAGTTGGGGGGGATGATGGATAAGGTGGGTTTTGTCTTTGTTTTGCTTTGGGGGGGGTATCGGTATTTTATGGTGGACTTTACTGATTTCTTTTTCGTGTAGGACACGGGGATGGGGTTGAAAGCTATTGATAGGATCAAGGAGAGGTATGGACTTGATGGTGTTTATGGTCCTCTCTATCGATTGTTTGAGATTCCCGACCCAAAGTTCAATATTGCTGTCGAGTTGACTGCTGGGAACAGGCAAGTAGACTGTTACACTCTATATTTTCGCGCTGACGTCCCTTCTTGCTACTCTATTCCTCATAACGACATCCTAACTTCTTGCTTTCCAGTCTATTCCACGTAGTGGTCGATACCGACGAAACCGCCTCCAAAGTCCTGGACATTATGATGAAAGAAAAGACAGGTCGAGTGACCTTCATGCCTCTCAACCGTCTAAAACCCAAAAACCCTCCTTTACCCAACGCTTCCGACGCCATCCCTCTACTTTCCAAACTCCAATACGACCCTTCCCTCACGAAGGCTTTCCAACAAGTTTTCGGAAAGACATGTGTGTGTAGGGATTTGACTATCGCCGCTGCCTATGTGAAGAGTCACGGGATCAACACTATCACGCTTGACGGAGATAAAGTTGATAGGAAGGGTGCGTTGACTGGTGGGTTCCACGATGTCCGGAGAAGTAGAATCGAGGCTATCAAGAATGTGGCTGTTTGGAAGAAGAAGTTTGAAGAGGATGAGAGGAGGTTGAAGGAGGTTAAAGAGGTCGTGTTGGGTTGCGATCAAGAAATTGCGAAGATTACGGGGGAGATTGCTGTTGCTACTAATAGGATGAATGCGGCCAAGGAAGCTCGGGAAGCTGCTGTTAGGGAGGTGGGAGTTTTGGAGAAGGAGCGAGAGAGGTTGAGAGAGAGGATTGGAAGGTTGGAGGGGGAAGTTGAGGAGATGGAGGGGGAGTTGAGGGGGGTTGAGGGGAGGCTTGATGGATTGAGGAGGGAGTTGAGTAGTCCGATGACGAGTGGGTTAACTCAAGAGGAGGAAGGTGAGATTGAGACGTTGCAGAAGGAGGTTGAGGGGAGGCAGAAGAGGTTGGTGGAGATTGGGAAGGAGAAGGCTGAGGTGTGTATTTTCCTCTTTTTCATGGTTTAGGTGGTTCGGGTGTTGATGTTTAGTCTTTGGTAGCTTGGGACGAGGAAGAGTTTGATTGAGATTGAGCTGGGGGAGAATTTGAAGAAGAGGAGGGATGAGTTGAGGGATAAAATTCAGTCGTTCGGGGATGCAGATACGGGCGATGCGTCTTCCGTTGGTGACCTCGAGGCTCGAACTCGAGAGTTGAAGAACTTGAATTCCTCGATCGATTCCTTGACGAAGCGAACGGCAGGTATGCTCCCCGAATCACACTCGTGCGTGATCGAGGTTTCTGATCACTTTTTTTTTTGGCAGATCTGGACAAGGAGGTGGAGAAACTGAATGCTCGTCATCAAGAACTGCGTGCGCAGCTGGAAGAGGTGCAAACCCAGCAAAATGAGGATAGTCGTGGCATCTCGAAACAACAGAAGAACACGGAACGTTACTTGGCTAAACGCGCGATGTTGACGAGTAGAAAAGAAGATTGTAATCGGAATATTCGTGATCTTGGCGTCCTTCCAGAAGAAGCTTTCGAGAAGTATACGAACGAGAGGGCTGAGAAGGTTTGCTCTTGCTGGCTGGCGTGTATATGGCTTGGCTAATGTTTTGGGGTGTAGATCGCGAAGAAACTTCGTCAAGTGAACGATGGCCTCAAGAAGTTCGCGCATGTCAACAAGAAAGCTTTCGAGCAGTATAGCAATTTTACCAAACAGCGAGACCAACTTCTGAAACGTCGAGAGGAACTCGACACGTCGGCGGAATCGATCGAGGAGCTTATCCAAGTTTTGGATCAGCGAAAAGATGAGGCTATCGAGAGGACGTTCAAGCAAGTGGCGAGTAATTTTGAGGAGGTATTTGAGAAGCTCGTACCGGCTGGTCGGGGGAAGCTGATCATTCAGCGTCGAGTAGACCGAGTAAGTGGTTTCTTTTTTTGATATCTGGGACGTCTAGATTCATGTGGCGCTTAGGATGAGGACGACGATGAAGAGGAAGATACTCAACAAAACAGTGTCGACAATTACACGGGCGTCTCCATCAAGGTGATTCTCACTGTCCCTGTGTCTGACGAAATACTCATTCGCCAAGTAGGTATCGTTCAACTCGAAAGTCGATGAAGGTTTGCGGATACAGCAGTTATCAGGCGGTCAAAAGTCGCTCGTTGCTCTAGCGACAGGTATTTTCCATGTACGCCCTCAGTATTGTCCCCTTCTAACAAGGGCTTTGTAAGTGTTCGCCATTCAGAAGTGTGATCCGGCGCCCTTCTATCTCTTTGATGAGGTACCTGATTTCTATTGTGACTCATGCATGAACGCACGTTGATCACTGCCTCCTTTTCCAAGATTGATGCGAATTTGGATGCACAATACCGAACTGCGGTTGCTTGTGAGTGTAGTTGCTTTGGTCATCGTCTCTTGTCTTTTCATTACAAATCGCCACCACTAGCCATGATCCAATCTCTGTCATCCACCGCGCAATTCATTA